CAAAGTAAATAAGACTATGGCATGGCTGTGACAAAAATCAAAACCTTACGTGGCGAGGGGAGACGAAAGCAATAAAGACAAAAAAACAAAAACGAACTGGTACAGGACATGGGAAACGAGGACTATTTAAACACATGAGGGAGGGGAACCCCAGGTGTACACAATAGGTAATCAACACATGACGACACACCAGACATTCCCCCAAACGACACAGATACATTTTGCATTGACATTTTTTAAATGTCTTTTTAAATGCATTTTGCTTTGCATGTTTGATGCGATATTTGGACAAGTTTACACCTTGCCTTGATGGCTTCATGAATTATTCAAGGGACTTTGAAGACTGTTGACTGTTAAATTTAGAGGGCATACAGTCCTCTTGTAGTGTGTGTGTGTGTGTGTGCGTGTGTGTGTGTGTGTGTGTACGTGTGTGTGTGGTAATGATTCCCATTATGATTCCCTCATTTCAGCGTAATCCTGAATTCTTCCACACGATATGGCAAACAAATGTCCCGTTTTACAGCCTCAGACTGTTCAGAAAGCACTCAGAAACACACTCCTCGGTTACTATTTCCCGGTTAAGCCGCGTTAATGCACTTTTCCCCCGACCACACACACACACCATCCCACAGCATCATGTGGTTTTTTCCTCGCTCTTCTGCACTCTCTCCATTTTATGCTCCTCCTCAGTCGGTGGGCAGGGCGTCTGTGTGTGTGTGTGTGTGTGTGTGTGTGTGTGTGTGTGTATCCTCAATCAGAGGAAGCTGGGAGACGGAAAGATGAGGAGGGAAGAGAGGGTTGGGATGCACGGTGTTGGATGTGGACTAAAACTCCTGTCGGGGAGCTTCTGTCGCTTTAAGTCGGGGACAATTTGTGCGTTTGATGACACGTGTTTTGCATTCGGAGTCAAGATTTTTTCCTCTGAGGCTTAAATTGTTTTTCAAAAAGCAGCCGTTTTCATAGCAGCAAATTGTAGATGCAGGAGAAGAGTTCCACTTTGTGTTGTTTGGGTTTTTGGGCTAAGGAAAGCATCAGATGGTGAGTGTCTTTTCTCTTTATGTACAATTTTTTTTTACACTAGCAGAAACATGCAAGTCTCTTGGAAAATTGTTGACCTGTAGGTTTGGGCTGAGGTATAATTTTAATGTAATGGGAAATCTCATGGCTTGAACAAACCGGACAGCCAATGAATGATTACTTCATTGACTGATTTAAAGGGAAAAATGCTCATTCTGTTTTCCCTCACCGAGCAAAACTTTTCGGACATGAATTTGAGTTACAGAACTACAGAATGTGCTGCAGTTTTATCCAACTTTGTGGCAGTTTATCGGTGGCCCCCCCTCACTGCTAAGAGATGCATAGCACCTCTTAGCCCACCCTGAGCCATGGTTCTGCTCGAGGTTTCCGCCTGTTAAAAGGAAGTTTTTCCTTGCCTGTGTCGCCTAGTACTTGCTCATGGTGGGAATTGTTGGGTTTCTGTAATTAACTTCAGAGTAGGGTCTGACCTGCTCTGTTTGGAAAGTGCTGTGAGACAACTGTTGTTGTGATGTGGCGCTATATAAATAAAATTTAATTGAATTGAATTGAATAGCTCTTTAAAAGATCTATAGCTACTGGAAAAAAAATGACAATTTAATTTATTTAATCAAATCAGTGCTCCTATGTCATTGGCTTCAGGAATGGCCAAAGTTTTGCATTCACATGTTCAGGAAAACACATTACGTAGTACGTAGAAAGTTAATCTACGTGCACTAAGAGATAGTAACTGCGGGACCAGGTTGGTTGTGACACCGTGCACGTGCTAATGGCACGCAGCTAGTTTTTTTTTTTTGCATGCTAGTTTCCAGTTCCCTGCTCATAAAGGGCCTGAGTGAGGATGCTGCAGTGCGTTTGTGCTCTCCTGGACCAAACGCTCCACTGCCTCATTCTTAGGCTGTTTGTAGCAAAAAGTGCAGCCACAGGGGGGTGTGTGTGGGGGGGGGGGTGGGGGTGAAAGCTGCCTGTCAGAGGCCATTAAGCAGCAAGCTGGATGCCAGGTTAGAGTCCGGAAAAGTGGAGCGATGCACTGCAGATGAAGCTGCGAACAGCGTGGCACCACTCCAATAACAAAATCCAAAGATTGAGGCTTTAAAACAAAGTATCACTATTTTAGTTATTTCACAGAAAGGTAACACTTGTATTTTGCTTTGTTTAATACAATTTAAACCTACAAGCTTTTAGCCAAATGTCTGAAAAAAGAGAAGTTGAGCCAAGATGCAAGAGGCACTAAAAATCTTTATAATCCAAAGATTGAGGTCTTAAAACAAAGTATTACTATTTTAGTTATTTCACAGAAAGGGGACACTTGTATTTTTCTTCATTTAAAACAGTTTAAACCTACAAGCTTTTAGCCAAAGGTCTGAAAAAAGAGAAATTGAGCCAAGATATTTAGATATTTATACAAAAGGCACTAAAAATCTTTATAATCCAAAGATTGAGGTCTTAAAATAAAGTTTTACTATTTTAGTTATTTCACAGAAAGGGAACACTTCTATTTTGCTTCATTTAAAACAATTGAAACCTACAAGCTTTTAGCCAAAGGTCTGAAAAAAGAGAAGTTGAGCCAAGATATTTAGATATTTATACAAGAGGCACGAAAAATCTTTATCACATCTGAAATAATATATTTTTATTAAGATGCTATTCACGATTTGGTATTAAATTTGATTTAAAAAAAGGAATCAAGTGATGCCCTTTGGGTTTAAAAGCAAAATGGGTATAAAGCGTGATTTATTTAGCAAAAACTACTGTGAAGAAATGATAATGTCTCAGCTTTCAGCAGATAATTTTATCCAAAGTGACTTATAATGCAGATACATAGAAGGAAATCACCAGATTTGGTGACAATGGTGACAATGCAGATATGGGGAAGTATTGGGTTAGGAAGTAAAACAGGGACAGAAGCAAAACTATAAAGGCGTTCTTTATCATAATCACCACTAAAATAACGGATAACTTCATTAGCTAAACGCACAACCTCTTTTTTAGAAGATCCACTGTCATGCTTCTGCTAATAAAAGGAAATTTTCAATGAAAGCTTGGAGAAAAAAGCAGATGTGTGATGGTGGCTGGACATAGGAGGCAGAGAGTGAGTGGCCAGTTGTTTTAACACCATCTGGATCCCTGAACAGGCATCTGTTCTGCTAAGGGGAGTCCTGCCTCCATTTTAATCTGTGACCCGTCACTGCTGGGGGGGGGGGGGCAACGTCTGAGCTGGTGATGGTGCATTTGACAAGCTGCTCGCTTAAGATTAACCAAATCCAAATTGGAAAAGAACAGAAAATATTTTCCCTTCAGTTTCTCTAACTGTGAATCTATTCAGTACTAAATTAAAAAAGGTAAACATCAGAAGTGTTTCTGATATATCTCCAGATTATGTTGCACTGTTATGGCTCCTTTATTAGACATTAAGAAAGAATCATGCTAATGCAAGTCTAATTTAGCAGAATATGATGCAGAGATTTGACACAAACCATCTAGTAATTATAGATTTAAAGCTTGCAAACATGAGACGTCACCATTCTGAATCAATTCTGACATGTAATATATACAAAGAACCAACCAGTTGTTGTCCAATGTGGACTAATAATTAAAATTACACTGACACTGAAAGCACGTTTCTCTTTTCTCTGAATACCAATGCTGAGGGACTGGCAGAATTACAATAGAAAATCTTAAAAAAGAGCATGTAATAGGAGAAGAGATGGTGGAGTAGACATTTCTTTGTTGTGTCACCATGTTAAAATAATGAAACAGCGTTATGCTTTATCTACCTGGTCACTCAACGTCCAAAAACTGTGATCCAAAGTATGAAAGGAAAGTTATTTGTTTAAGATAAGAACAGCCAAATGGATATTAAAATATATTATATATATTTTATATTTTATATCCCACATTTTATGTACGTTTTATAGATAAAACGTTTAAAATACATGTAAAAAGGTAAATAAATACATTGAATCTTACTGAAAATCATGCCTTTCTCCATTTGGCCCGAGGACCAAATGACCAAAGAAGGACCAAAGAAAGATGTGTCATGTGAGGTGGAGACTATGTTCCACTCAAAGAAATGAACAAACAATATTCAGTGAATTAAGAAAAAGCAGCCAGAGGCAATATGATCTTTTGTGTTGCTCCTCTGTGTGTTTTGGGTCCACGTCGTGCAGCTGGATATGTGTAAGTGCAGTTTTTGGTGAGAGACTATTTAATCCTAAATCAAAGCCAGAGTGGAAATCCCAAGATTAAAACTCTTCCAAGGATCTATGTTTGGATGATTTAGCTCGATCCACAGGATTTATGGATATGCATTTATTCTATTTTCCGTCATGAAGTCAAACTTGATCCGTTGTTAGTCATCAGACGGGTGTGAAATGATTTTCTCAGTAGTTAAATTTCACAAATTCAAAACTTCTTGAAGGTCCTACTCATCTTTTTTTCACCTGATCTGATGTTTGTCTGTTACTCAAAACCAGAACAGAGGCCCTTTGGTGTTTTTTGTTTAGATTCCTCTACAGAAAAGAAGCAAATGTACATAAGAAAAAAGTTGGGCTTTTAAATAAGATATTTAAACCTCTTCAAAACAGTCATAAAACGTTTAAATGTTTAAATACGCTAAGGATTTAGCTCTTAAAAAGAGACTTAAACTCTAATTTGACTTTGCACATGTACGTTCTTGATCGTTTCTTTTCATTTAAATTGCTGACAAAAGTCCAAGTTGATTCTCAGTAGGTTTATTCATTTCCCTTAACCTCCACTCTGTATATTTCTGACCCGTTTTCGTGGTCAGCCGTGGCCTGGAGGTCCTCTCCTACATCACGCAACAGGCCGCAGAGTGACTGGCACCTTTGTAAAAAACTAATAAAAGAAAGCCCCGTAACAAAAGAAGGACCTTGAGGCAGCACTTTGCTACTCTGTATGGCAGTAAAAGATGGAGGATAGGATGATGATGCTGTTCCATTTGTCTGCAGCTGTCTCCCCCCCCCTACTGCAGAGTGCCAAAAACAATAAAATATATCAAAAGAAATGAAATGAAAGACAAACCCAGACGACATGTGAAACAATAACAGCCCCGGCTGCAAGGAAGAGGCTTTTTCTGGAATAGCTCTGTATGTTTTCTGTCATTTTGAAAGGCGAATAATCAAATGCATTGAGAACAAACAAAGAACTGGGGGATAAGATAAAAAAAACAGCCCTGAAACCTTGCAGGTGTCAGGCTGCAAGTGCTGTTTAATCAGTACATACATCACAATTAATCAGGTAGTACATAAACTTCTGCTATTTCCAATCACTGGATGTGTGAATCCAGACTAGAACGGTGAAAAAAGCAGTTATTTTCTTTACATTTCTGCCCACAAAGCATTATAAAGCATCTGTCATATTGAAACGGTTTATAAATCAATATTAAGGCCTGGTTCTTTAGAGTTTAAGAATTACAATCACCTATCTATCATAAGAGAAAATCCAAAAGCAGTCCTAAACTTTTCAAAATGAACAGCTAACGTTTGTACTAATGGGTGAAAACTGCAATAGATTTTGTCAGTTCAAAACCGTGTTTGTTCAATTATTTTACCCATTCGTTCTTTTAACTTTGATCCGTTTTCACTGTTTTTAGGGTAACCTTCAAAGCTGGATGGTAAGGTGATCCGGCAAAAGAGCAAAAGCAGCCAAATGCCCGCCTGATGTTGGAGCGGTGGAGGCTGCAGACATGAGGAACCCGGACCGGCACGCACACAAACACCTGGAGAGCGTGGGTGAGCTCCACGCAGAGAGTTGTCCTTTCAGATCAGACTGACCGTTGAACTACGCACCCCGTTTCTTTCAAATGGGAGAAATGGTTGTACAAGTCCCTTTTCAAAAACATTCCTGTACTACAGTTCCAGAGACTCTATGCAGATGTCAAACTGTGTTAGCTTGTTCTTAGTTTTCTGAGCTTAGTAGATACATACTTAGTAGATACATATACTTGCTAGCATAACATGCTAGCAAGTATACAGGTTTCAGCAGAATGTATCTCAGTTAATAGCTGGAACAAAAGTGATTAATTTGAACTACGCACCGGGTTTCTTTCAAATGGGAGAAATGGTTGTCTTTTCCAAAAGTAGCCCAATACATTCCTGTACTCTAGTTCCAGAGGCTATGCAGATGTTGAGAAGGAAGCACATTTTTTAGAATAATTCTGTGTGCTTCTCTCTATCTCTCTCAAAATTTTGCAGCCTGAATATTCAGAGTGAACATCTTTAGACTCAAACCCCTGTGTGAGCTTGTTCTTAGTCTTCTGAGCTTAGTATACAACTTGCTAGCATGTTATGCTAGCAAGTATACCGGTTTCAGCTGAATCTATCTCAGTTAATAGCTGGAAGTGATTAATTTGAACTACGCACCGGGTTTCTTTCAAATGGGAGAAATGGTTGTCTTTTCCAAAAGTAGCCCAAAACATTCCTGTACTCTAGTTCCAGAGACTTCACGCAGATGTTGAGTGTTAGCTTGTTTTTAGCCTTCTGAGCTTAGTAGACTTGCTAGCATGTTATGCTAGCAAGTCTCAATCCATCTCAGTTATTAGCTGGAACAAAAATGATTAATTTTGGTTTCCAGATCAAGCAAGAAGGGTAAAGAATAAGAATAAAATATCTCTGTGTGTGGTAATGTTTGCTTTGGCCGTTTACGAGTCGCGTTTCTTGTGTTTGCTTTTGCTATCCTCCTAGTCTGCGCGGCGTCGGCCATCTTGGTGCTGGTTCTGCTGGGGCTCCTGGGGTCGGCCGGCGGTTGCCCCGGCGCCTGCTCCTGCCACGGGAACGCCACCGACTGCTCCTCCGCCGGGATCCTGTCCCTGACGCCCGTCCTGGAGCTGGTGGACCAGGACTCCGTGGCCCTCCATCTGTCCCGGAACAACATCTCCTCCCTGGGCAGGACGGGGATGTCCAACCTGAGTAACCTGGAGCTGCTGGACCTCTCCCTGAACCGCCTCTACAGCCTGGAAACGGGGGCTTTCTTCGGACTGGCCAGCCTCCGTTGGCTAAACCTCTCCTCGAATTACCTCGGCATCCATACCACAACATCCGACCTCAACAACAACAATTCGGCGTTTGCCCAGGGCTTGAACGGAAGTCAGAAGAGTGGTCTGAGCAAGCAGGTTTTCAAAGGGCTGTGGCAGCTGCAGTGCCTGGACCTGTCCTCCAACGGCCTCCTTTTGCTGCCCCAGGGTCTGCTGGACGGACTTCAGAGTCTCGCCTGGCTCTCTCTGGCCGGAAACCGGCTGTCGGCCCTGGACAGGGGCACCTTCGAGCCCCTTCTGGGGCTCCAGGAGCTGCGGTTGGTGGGGAACCCCTGGGAGTGCGATTGCAAACTGAGAGACTTCAAACACTGGATAGAGTGGATGATTTACCGAGGTGAGCGGGCTTCTTTGGATTTAAAATAATCTGTATAAACGGGAAAATCCTGAGAAGGTGTAGCGATTAGTCTCCTCTTTACAGGATGAATGAACGATGGACAAATACTAGGGTTGTCACGATACTAAAATTTTCAACTCGATACCGATACTCAGGAAAATACTCGATACTCGATACCACAAGGATAAAAACAAAGACCCCAAAATTTAACTGAATTGTGTCTTTCATTTCAAACTGACCTGTTACTGATGTTATCGTGACTGGTGGCAGAAATGAATGACCCTGATCCTAACCCTCCACCCTTTAAAATTCTGATAAATAAATATTTTTTGGTTAAATTTGTTTGGACTTATTGTACAAACCTATTTAACATATTATTATGTATAGAGTTCAATTAAGTGTTTGAAAGATTCATTTAACTATTTTAAAATGAATGTCTATGTGGGCGGAGTTTGATACGTACTTGATTAATGGTAGCATGTTATTGTTAACCATTAGCCGCAGCTAGCAAGGCTAACGTCTTGTTAATGCTCATAAACAACGTAAATAAATACATAAATAAATCAGAGAGAAGGGGCGCAGCGACGGCAGGTCAGCGCGCGGTGGTATCGATACTTTTGAAAATGAGTATCGTATCCGGATACAACATTTTAGTATCGATACTTTTTCGAGTATCGATACTTTTGACAAGCCTACCAAAGACATCGTCAATTATCTACCGATTTATTTGTTTGTATAAACAGAAAATTCTGAGTCCACACCAGAGATGGTGTAGCAATGAATCCCCTCTTTACAGGAGGAATGAACGATGTCAATTATCTACCGATTTCTTCATTTCTCAATCCTGCCACTTTCTTCTCTTTCTCTCGCGTCTCTTTTCTCTTTTCCTGGCTCCTCTCTGTCCGGTTACAGACGGGCGGGTGGACGTGATGCAGTGCAGTCTCCCGGGGGACCTGAAGGGCAGGGACATCCGCAGCCTCCCGGCCGAGATGTTCAGCTACTGCCTGCGGATTCCCGCCCGGGAGGCTTCGTCAGACCCATCCACCCGGCCTCCTCCCTGCCCGCCTGGTCAGCGCGTCAATGGCGCGGAGGAATGCGTGCGCCAGCGCTACCGGCCGGTTAGCGTGCGGCGGGCGCACGGCACCCAGATCGTGGCGGGCGTGGTGTGCGGGACCGTGTGCGTCATGATGGTGGTGGCGGCCACCTACGGCTGCGTCTACGCATCGCTGATGGCGCGATACCAGAAGGAGATGAAGAGCCGCGGACAGCCCCTAATGGCCGAGTCCGGGGCCGAGACCGACCCGGAGGACGGGGCGGGGTCCTCCCCGGGCACGCCCGAGGAAGAGGAGGCGCCCAAACAGGCGTGCGACTTTGTGCATGGCTATCGAATCAGCAGCTTCTGAGATGACTACCCGCCTACCCCGCCAGGAACAGACTAAATTCAGCTGCAGCTCCTACTTTAACTCATTGACTGCCAGCCATTTTCAGAACAGAGAGTTTTTTGAGCATTTTGACTGATTTTTCAAGAGCCACAGAATAGTTTGTGCTATGACTATGTAAACACCGAACACACCAAAAGAAAGAGTAGACTCTTTTCTTTCATCAGGAAAAAAAATATGTTTCTACCTTATCCCGTTCTTCCTCGACTTGCGTCTCACCGGCGCCATTTCTCGCATAGCAAACCATTTTGTTTTTCTTATTTGCCTACAATCTATGCTTATCTCCCATCAAAAGTGGCACTGCCACCTAGAGGGTCGATTTGTTAGTACATACTCTGTCTAGAAGCCTGATATTTACGGACAATCTATAGCGGATCGTCCCCCAAGCCACTCGCGTTGAAAAAAATAAAAGACGTCTATAGACGTCTTTGGCAGCCAATGAGTTAATGTATGGGCGCTCTGTGAATAGTTATTCCCTGCACTGCATCTCTCAGCCAGCTATTAAACCCCGTCTGAAGTTCCTGTTTGGCACCTCTGCACCTTGAAGCTCATCCATCCATATTTCTGTTTCATCTTTAGAGATACGGAACCGTCTTTGAGTTTTGGTTATCCGTCTTTCCATTTACGTATAAGTAACAAGCACAAGTTTCTGTGATTCTCACAGTTTGTTGCACAACGTTTTATCCCGATCAACGGTGTTCATCTTGTGTATGGGTTAAGTAACTTTTCTTTCCTCTATCCGATATCCCGTTGAATTCATCGTTATTTTAGACACCTTAGATCATGTCTCACACACAGCTGTGGCTTGATACAAAAGACTAGCTGCATCCAATCTGAGCTGGTCTTATACTGCCACCTAAAGGGCAGATTCTGAGCCACAAAAGCTTCTAATCCAGCACAAATTCAGAAAAGAAAGGTTTTCAGACAAATATTCCTAATGTTGCAAACGATGATAAGTGTGAAGGTGAGAGCATCTCATCAAACATGCTGTATTTTCAAATGTGTGTCTGAGGTTTTTCTTTGGGAAGCACATCGAGTATGGACTCAAATTCAACTGAAAGACTGTCAGTGATGCGGAAGATAATAAACTCTATTTATCTACATTTCCGGTTTTTCTTCTCTCCGTATTACAGCACGGGATGTCGACAAAACATGACAGCAGTCCACGTAATAATGGATCCCTCCATCAAAATAAATTACAAAAGAAATAATCCAGATGCACCAAGTATATCATCTACGTCTTTCAGATGCATAGGAGGCGACTTTTGACTAAATCTGAACTTGAAAAATGTTGATGACTTTTTTTAAGAAGGGTTAGCATCGCAAAAACAACAAGCTCTCTGGTTTATTTAGCTGTGCCAGCTTTAGCAACAGATGTCCCATATGATAATATATAATATTATAATAATAATAAACATAATAATATGTTTGCATTAATGATGTAACACTGTTATTCCAAAATATTCAGAATAATATGTTATACAGATAGCATGTGTTAGATACAACCTATTCAGGTAGGATGATTTTTCTTCAAACAAAATCCTGAGAAGTTGTACCTTCTGCTTTTAGAGGCTAAACTGTTTCAAAGCAGAATGTAATTTACATTTATGGTTACCAAAAAGACTTTTAGACTTAAGAATTACTGAGTTTAAAAGTGATTAAAATCAAACTATCAAAGATGCCATTACTTTCCAAATTGTACATATAATCAGAAGAGCAAGTTTTAATATCTATTGATCAATAGATTTCCAATTGTTCCGTTCAGTAATATTTAAGAACATCAAAAATGAGTCCGATTTAGTTAATTCAATTAAAAATCATTCACAGATGCCACAGAACCCCTCAACAGCTTCATAAATGGAATTTGAGCCTCTATTCTACATGTTCTCTGGACATGCCCTGCTCTTCAAGATTGGTGGAAGAATATTCTGGAGGTAATTTTCGAAGTACTGGAAAGAAGATTCAATATCAGTGCTGAGCTGGCAGTTTTAGGCTCCACAGTAGAACTCCTAAACTCACACTTCTCACCTTTTGACAAGAAGTGGCTTTTTCTGGCTCGGACTACGGCAAAAAGGATCCTACTAAGATACTGGATGAAAAAGAACCCTCTTCCTTATGAAGAATGGCTGACAACTATGGTTAAACTGGCTCTAAAAAACAAGAAACTCAATCAAATTTGCATTATAAAAAAAATTAAATTAGTTTTTGACAATGACTAATCCGAGTTAGACCCAGTTTTGTGTTAGTTGTACCAGTAAGACACATGCGATACACTGATGATACACTGGTGTTTTATGCATGTTTGGGTTTGCACTGTATAACCCTATAATGCCAAATGTATCATATTTGATACGTACGGTTTCTGAAATCTTTTGGATCTGAGACTTTTTGCATCATTCAGTGGTAAAAGCTTTGCTCAAACCCCTGTTGAACACATTCAGATATACCTGATAACAGCCAGTAGAAGACTACACCAAAATACATTTTTGACTTATCGCACGCTAATTTGACCAAAATAATTTCTGTTTTTTTTCCTTCATATGTTGTTGAGGGGCCAAAGAAAGACTTCAGACTAAAAAAAAATCCAATATTCTTCCTATTTTTCTTGGATCTGTGAAACTCACCTCCAGCCATGGCCGTCTTTCCTCTGGACGAGACGGTCACCGCGGTGGTGGCGATAATATACTTCACTCCTGTCAACGGAAAGCTTTTTCTCAGCATAAAACCAAAAGACTTTCAGTCCAGTTTAATCGTCCAGAGATACAGAAAGACTAACACCAGAAAAACTAACAGCTCGACATACCTTTGTCGTTTACGGGGTAGTAGAAAAATCTCCCTGGAGTGTTTTCCACAGCCAAGCGGTACCAGAGGGGGAAGTGATCGATGGTGAAGAGGTTATCCTTATCGGACGGAGTCAGGAACTTCCTGTCAGAGCAACATTTCATTTAGATCTATAGGTTTTTGCCAAAATGTTTAAATGAAATGTGGATAAAACAACAACAACTGAGACAAAAATCTTTGTAAAACAGTCCAAACTGATGTGATCCAGCTGCTGGATGTTTCAGTATTCTTTTGTTTATTATCATTTTTTTACTGGAATCCTTTATACGATTCAATTGCTATTATAAATTAATGCAGACCGATGCGTTTGCAATCACTTTACATAAAATAAAATGGTAGATATTCTAGAATTCTTATCATTTAGTCACCTCAAAGTGCTTAATGTGCTTCTCTCTACACAAACAAATTCAGGAAAAGGGGTAATACAAAGTCCTGGTCTGCCAATGGAAGCAATTTGAACTTTTTGGATGGTTTTACTACATATTTTATAGTTGTTAAGGAGATTATTTTCCCAGGTAACTAACAAGTGAGGAACTTGTTCAAGATTTATTGCAGTAAAAAACTCAGACACAACTATCACGTCCTAAATCCTTCTACACAAAAACATGACACAACAGGATTGCATGTTGGAGGTATTCTCTGAATGGAAAACTGCACACGCGTGATGTTTTTATTTGACTCTTACTTTGCCACCCTGGTCTCTGTTCCCGCGTATCTCATTATCCGCATCAGTCCAGAACGAGTGCCGAGGAACGCCGTTTCCACCCCGGACTCCACCCTGCACACAATAACAACAATTACACAAAAAGGATCAAAACGACTTCTTTACAAAGCTTAAGTCGGTTGTTTTGTGACATCGTTTACCTACAGAAAATCAAATCTGCACTTTCATCCTGTCAGGGCATCTTTAAAATCACCTCACAAGTACTAAATCTATTTTTCTGGATTGACTTAATTAGCCCAGTAGTATTTTGTAAATTAGCAATACATTTTTTTTTTAATTCCCAGCTTACCCATCGTTAAGCATCAGGGCGTTCCAGTAGGCCTCGACTGGAGCCGTTACCACGGCGTCAAACAGTATCTGCTGTAGCAACACCTCATCACCTGGAATAAAGAAGAATATAATAAATATGATAAATATAATATAAATGTAATAAATAACCAATAACCAAATAAAAGTATTTCTGATTCTGAAGATCAGTTAAATAAATCAAGTTCAACTCAAACCCACATTTAAGTTGACTGAATAAATTGAATGACTAAAGTCATTTTTAAACAAAAGTTTATGAATTCATACAATAACAAAGACCAATTTATATTTAAAAAAAAAACCTACACTCGAGGTCGGGCTCCTTCCCTTGTAAGTAGCCGACGACGGCTTGAAGCTGCGTGTATTTTCGATGATCGGGATCAATGTCCAGTTCACAGTAAGTCCTGAACAGATCAAATTTATCACATTGTTTTAACAGGAACAATCTATCACTGAAAGTTTGTTATTAACTTAAAAATTTGATACAAATAGAGGAAAAACTTTTCTTGACTGTTTAAGATGAATGACAAATGATATGGAATTCCTTCCTTTCTGACATTATCATGTCATTTATACACTTTTAGTTTTACTTATGTGTTTTTCTTTGTAATAGGAAATGGAATTTGAGCAAAAAAACAGTTAATAGTTTCAGCTTTACCACTCAGAGGCGATCATGAGATCTGGGGAGGTCAGGTCATGCAACCCTGCAAATGAAAGGAAAAATATCGATTCAGTTAAAGTGGAAATATAGACAATGACTTCATTTTAATGACTTTTTTAGTTTAAGAAGCTGTTGTGTTCCTAAACTAACACGGTTAAGTGCCTTAATATTAGTTCATTCATTGAAAATGAGCCCCCACAGGTTGTGCGATTAAACTTTTATTACATTACATTTCAACGTCTTCCACAGGTTGTAACATTAATTTTTAATTTGAAAGTTATACCTTCTTCCACGGATACATTTCCCAAAAACATCAGGCTCCCGTGGCCTCTGGTCAGCACCATGCCGAAACTGAACAGAGACGAGGAAACAAAGTTAGAGACAAAACAACAACAGCTCCACTTCTGGATTGTGATTTGTGTCATGATACAACTCAGGTTCATTAGCAATGAAAAAAAGAAATGAAACATTTAAGGACTGCAATTCCTTATCATGTACTTCCAGTATGACTATTTGTGGTGTACTCTAAATCTCACACAATAGCAGCTGGAATAGGGTCCCTACCCCCGATAAAAAGAAAAAAGAAAAAACTTTGTATAGAAAGCATAGATGACGGCGGGTTTACCTGAAGGGAGTTTCATCAATGTTTGTGTAGAAATAATCATTGATGAGATACAGAGGGCGTTTCTGTTAGATAAAGTTAAAAAAAAAACGTGTCAAAGTGTTGTATAAACTGTTGTTTAATACCATTTTTTTTTTAACCTAAACACATATTTGAATGACCTTTTTTGTAATGCTGGTAATAAACTAATCTAATAAAATACATATAATAATAATAACAATAACCCAACCCCTAAATCAAATGAACAAACTATTTTGTAAACAAATAAAACAAAAAAAGCCAGAAAAAAACAAAAACTAAATAATAAAAACTAAAAAAAAAGAAAGAAATAAGAAAAATATGTACATTATAGAAATAATATATACAACCTAAACTGGCTCCTCTCTAAGCTGTAAGAAAAAATTAGCCTTTTTTGGCACAGATAAAACTGTGTGTGTTATTAGACTTTTACCCCTTTATCGACAGATGCTCTGATGCTCAGTGTCATGCTGCCCGTCTCTCCTTTCACCATGGCCGTCCTCAGCTGCAAACAGGGAAGATACTATTATGATTTTGGCAAGATTAATTACGTTTCTGATTAAAGAAAATGCAAACGGAGGCTATTACAACCAGAATATTGTCAAAACAGAGAGCAAGATATTGCTTTTACAAGTAGAATAAGTCTGGATTCCCATTTTAAAATGGCTGTTCGGAAAATGGAGATCATTAAATCTTCTTAAACTCTTAAATTCTGTCTTTCTTTACCATCTCGTCTGTGTCTTCCCACTCCACCTCAGACAGATCCACGCTGTTGTAGTTGGGCTTCGGCTTCAGTTTTTTCCCGTCCTTATACTGTAGACAAATGAACCTCCATTACTGAACGTCTGTGGAGTAAAACCCTTTTAAACTATCCTGTTTTCTACCTGTAGGAATTACTTTTGGTCTCTTTGGATGTTTACAACACAGCAAAATGTCATTTTTGTGCATTCTTTTAGCAATACAGTTCTATAATCCCAGAAGTTTCACTGTCAAATGTCTTGCTAGAGTTGGATCCAACATACATATAATAAGACATAACTATATAAAATGAGGGGACATATTATTGTGTAGTTCTGTGATCAGCCACATTAGTGAAACAATACTGAAAGTGGCTCTGAAGAGATGAACAATGTAATGCAAACTGTTTATAACGTCACCATCCCTCTCAACTTCAGGACCATGTACCTTAAACAAAACTGAAAACACCGGCAATGGACACAGTAAATAAATACCTTTGGAACATAATGCTTGCTGCTGGAAAAAAAAGCCATAACTAAGAAATGGATGACACAGTCAGCCCCCACGATTTCAAACTGGATTGAAATCAACATGGAACAAATTACTTTTAAAAATTCACTTGAAACTTGACGTTTTTCACAAACTTTGGTCAAAATGGAACTCCTACAAGGTAAAATGTGCTCTGCTTCAAAATGGTTCATGATTCATCGCTACTTTCAACAAGCTGCATTTTTTGCCAACTGCTCTCTATGTCGAACTGTTCTGTGTTATTAATGTTTACTGAAAACTTTGAAAAAATAAATAAATAAATTAAAAAAAAAAAAAGGGGCTCTGAAATGCTCCTGACAAAGGCTGGTTCTTTTCCAAACAGATTTGGTGGCTTTGATATCTCCGAACTATGGATCATTTGACAAAATTATGTTGTTCCTGAAAGTGGCTTTGGGCAGAGAGCTCATTAATAGTCGATTATAGGTTACCTGTCAGCTAATTCCAGATGGTTCCCAGTTATCATGGGCCAGGATATCTGGTAGATCCCTAAAAAAATGTGTTCCTTCCCAATTCTCCCATTTGCATCCATCACATCCATCTTGTATTGTAAAAGATAAACAACTTTAAAGGTTTTATCTAAGACATTTCTATAGGCATTGCTCATATTAGTCCAATAGTAGGTGGAAATAGTTTGGATCCAGTAGAGGTTTATAAGACTAATTCTTTGTATGGAGTTTTTGGAGAGGATTCCGGGGTCCAGAGACCGAACTCACCAGAGGTCGGAGGTCAGGATGAGCCAGGATGTAACCGTTGTTGTTGAGGAGGAACGCGTACCCGTGTGCTCCCAGCTAAAGGAGAAAAACAAAAAAACAAAACAAAACACAGAATGCGTTGTTTAATTTATTCTATGCATAAATTTGCGTCTCATTTTGGAACCATTTTGGAAGATTAAACCGAGGCCAGAACGAAGGGCTCACCATGTATCTGGGGGCCAGCTTCATCACCTCCATGAGGGGAATGTCCGTCCCCACCACACCCAGCAGGATTCCATGAGAAAGCTGCAAAAAGGGGACTTTGTCAAACGGGTTTTGACATTTAAACTGAATATTTCATTATTAACACGTGCTGTCTTGACACTAACGGATTAGTTTCTGGATTCCCCGTCTGTTGCTATACAGTGGCTCATCCCTAATTACAAGGTAAAAACTGGAAAAACCCGTCAATTTATTTCATCTTGTGATATGTGAAAACACTTTTTATTTATAGACATAACGTATATGTGTTGTTGTCTTTTTTAATTATGCGTTTATTTCTCATTAATGTTTTCTTTTACAAATGTGGCTAATGCCAGTTATACTGGGCTTCCAACATTTACGTATCAAATGGTATTTTTAGGTCATTTTAGCTATACACTTCTTAAGCAGTTATTTTAATATGGTATGAATTATATTTATTTATTGAATTATATTGATTTATTTATTTGTTCTGTTTCTTATTTTCATATAAGTGTCTGAGTCCAACATTTTTTGCCATTAAAGCTTTTTAGACTTTCCATAAAACACTTTGAACTTTTCTATTTAGCCAACTACATGACATGTTCAGATTCCCAGTTATTTAAACAACTTTTACAGTGCTCTTAAATGACTAATGAATATATTAATGATCTCGTACCGTCTCCTTCTTCTTGCTGAAGACGGGCATGGCCACGGACGTCATCAGCAGGAGACTCTGAGCCTTGGTGGTGAAGAGCTAAAAAAACAACAACAGAATATTTAGCACACTGTGTAATTATACCTCAAATGAAAAATAATAATAATAAAATATCACAATCCACTGTTACAAGCACTGGCTTGCTTTGGAGGTAAACCTAATAATGTCTCTCTAGTTGGAAAGTGCTAAGGAGTTTCTTAAGATACTTTAATGTTAATATTGGTTATGTGTTTGTACACTTTTTTAATTATTTAATTACCGGTTATTTACATTTTTCAAATTGTGTCCCTCGATTTGGATTTGTATCTTCAACAGAGTACAGTTTTGTGGTCAGACTGCAGGTGGTGGTGCAGGCCTACAGGTGGCCCAGAATTCATTAAAAAAATAAATAAATAAAAAATCAGCCACAGGACCATTACTGGAGTGCTTTCAGAATTAAACCTGCTCAATAGCCTGGCGTGAACTCATTAAGGAGAAACCCAAATACTATGCTGTGATCAAACAATGAGGAAAAAAAAAAAACGGGTGATGTACACAAACGAGAAATAATCCAATACGGAACTAACTATTTACCTAAAACTGCTATTAATCAATTTCCTGTTGCTTTACCTCTTTTGTGTTGGGCAGCTGCCAGAATGAGGGAAAGCAGGGCCAAGAGGATCATGGGAGAATGAGTCCAAATATACGAGGAAACAGACAGATGAGGGTGAGATGAAAATGATGACCACTGAACAGAATGCTTAGGAAAAGGTCACCACAAAAAGGTGTTTCGTAAAAAGAACCGATGCAAAGAAATGTAATGTTCCTGGTCATTTGCTTTCTTAATCTCCTGACCAGCCCTTTCTTCCTCACCACAGTGTCCATGTAGGCTTCGGTCCAGATGATGTCGTGGTCATGGTTGATGACCATCGGCCGGCTGAGGACGTGCAAATACTCCATGACGTTCTCCTGAACATCAGCCAGTGTTGAAATATGTGTGTAATAACCTGAAAAAAGCACATATACATGTTTAATACGAGTGTATGCAGGCAGTGGACATCAATCTGCTCGTGGATAAAGCACTGACCTTTGTTGTTACAGGCTATCCACTTGGTGTTCTGGGCAAAAGTCATCTCTCGGCCAATCAGGTAGGTAAAGACTCGCACCTGGACGGAGACATCCACCCATTTATTCAGATTTGTATCTTACAGAACCGTTTCGGTCTTTAGATCTTTAGACCAAAATGCACCAGTTGTACATCAGATCCATGAAAACGCCATTGAGAGAGCTTCCCAGTACAAACCTGGAAAATTAAGTTTGATCTTCTCAACCTGGCCGCATAGTCTTCTTTATAGCTAGAAACTTGTAAAAAACCTGTTCCTTTGGAACAGCTAAAACACTGATCTGATGAATGAAAAGACCCGTAGAGTCCAACAAACTCATTCAGATAAAAGCTGAAATAACTGGAAGGCAGACGGACAATAGTTTGGAACTTTGCTGATCAGATTGGGATCTCATTTGTTTTACTAAAGCCAGAATTCAGGAAATTAGAGCAGGTATAACAGAGCTGTCTTTTTAGGTTTGGGTATCGGTTCTCTCCCTCATTTACATTGTTTTCTATTAGAACAGTTGAAGGGTTTCCTTCTGAATGATAGAAAAAAAACTTTCTGGCTTTCTGGTGTTTTGCCGGTATAGTTATTTCTGTGGGTTAAAGATTGTGGATACAGTGAGAGATTACCAACTTCTTTTCTGAAGAATCTCTCAGCATTTTTCTCCACACAGTCTGGTGGCGTAAGAGTCCCTTTCAAACTCAGAAATGACCTAAACTTTAAATGGTTTTGAAACTTTAACACTTTAAGAACAAAAGCATATTTAGTTCAATGTCTTGAACCGTGTTTAAAAGCTGAACGCTGTTCTTTGCTAAAAGTGTGCAAAACTGGTGAAATTTGAAAGAGTTGCAAGAAATAAGAGGCTGAAATTATGTGTTTTATGGGTATCATGGTGGCATATAAGTCTGATTTTGATTGAACAGATATGGCTCCCTAAAGCATGCATGCATGTACTTGTATATATAGACTAAAAGTTGTTAATCAACCACTAGTTTAACCTGCTTCAGCCTGGGTTCTTACCCTTCGCTCAGGCCAGTTGAACTCCTCAAAAACAGACTCAAAGTCCTCCATGGCTCCATCTGTGATCAGCATGATGGCCTGGTTACACATGCTGCCCTGACCATTCACCCTCGCCTGGACGAGAACACAAAAACACAAACACACACAAACAGCCAACATGCAGATGAGCATTTCCAAGACGCTCTTCAAAAGTCGTTTAAAAAAGGCCAAAAGGGTACACAAACCTCATTTAAGATCTTGAAGGCCTCTTTCATGGCATTTTTGATTTTCGCTTCTCCTTTAACATGGAGCTCATCCACCAACAGCTTGAAGTGCTGAGAGACAAAAAGAATTTTTTTGTTACGGCTTTAATTCCTTATTGATCATAATGAAAACAGTTTTTACAACATTTCACATATATATACAGTGGGGGAAATAAGTATTTGACCCCTTGCTGATTTTGCAGGTTTGCCCACTTACAAAGAATGCTTATTTTTCCTCATCAGATGGTTATCGACTTTTATAAATTCATATGATGTGATTTTCTGGAATTTTCTTTGGGATTCTGTCTTTCACTGTTAGAATGTACATATGATTAAAGTTATAGATCATTGCATTCTTTGTAAGTGGGAAAACCTGCAAAATCAGCAAGGGGTCAAATACTCATTTCCCCCACTGTATATATATATATAAAGTGGACTGGGCCTAAAATGATTGAGAAGGAATTTCTGCCAAAGAAGTCCAATTAGCATGATAGTATGAGGAGCACATTTCTATGTTCAGGCTTTATTCTTCTGCCCGGATAAAGAGAGGAATGTCCTCGCCATATCAGGTTACAACAGGTTAACTTGAGTTGACACAGCTTCTGATGTAAACTTAAACTAGGCCAAGTAGTTGATCTAATGATGTCTTTGAGGGTGTCCGCCCAGTGTGTGTGTGTGTGTGTGTGTGTGCGTTTGCATATATAAGGAGACCTAAGATGACTTCCCCGGTTCTTTAAGCCGCCATGAAGCAGTTAATAGTCTTACCTCTCTGTTGTCCAAGTCCGCCTGGACCAGAGTTCCCCGGAAGCATGGCTCCACATAGCGAACGTAGTCGGTGTACTACGGACAGCATGGCAAGGGCAAAAATTCATCATCATGCAAAGCTTCATGAGAAAAAAATAGTCACTTGTTCAAACTTCACAAAACACTGAGTGGTTTGTGGTATTTTGTATGAAAATGGTCAGGAATAGAAACTCCAGGTCAATGTGAAAATCCAGATAGGTGAACTCGGCTCTATATGGAGTAACCGGACATGTGTGTAGTCGGACAAATACCACTACCAAAATTTTCCCTACTGCCTTGAGGTATTGCCACAGTATTAGTACCAAAGTTTGGTCAATTTTGCCCAACAATGCCCTAAATTTAAATGACTGAGGTATTGATAAAGGCAAAAATATTATTACATTAATCTGTTATACCTACTTAACCCTTTTTTTATTTGAAGTTTTTATATAGCCCTTTAACAAAATGAGAAAAACAAAATAAACTGATTTTTTAAATATTCATAGTTTATTACCGTGCAATAAGTAAAAAATATTATCGTCTTCTTCCCACCTTTGTCAGGTATATATGATCTGAGCAATGTTTTTTTACCATTAAATGATGCAAAAGGTTTCGGATGCAAAAGACCTCATAAACCGTACGTATCAAATATGATACATAAGGCATTAAAGGGTTAATGAAATGTGCTGCAGCATGTCCAAGCTATCCTTGGGTGAGAGGATAAGAAAAACCCTGGAAAGGAAGCCATTCCATCATAGGGCCAAACAGGAATGTGCTAGGCCCAAATTTAGGGGACCTCACTTAACCTAACATCCAGTTTTTGGTTTTTTTTTTTAACAGGGAAGTCAGATTACATGTAAAGTCCATTACAAGGGCATGCACAACCAAAATTGTTCTTCTAAACAAACAAAAGCTACTTTAAATTGTAAAAAAATTCAGAAATAAAAATCCATAAAGATTCTATGACAACCGACAAAAGCTCCATGTATAAAATATAGACTATCAGTTGCATATGTAATTTGCAGTTTTATGAAAAACTTGATCGGATCAAAAGCCTTTTATGGACCGTCTCTTACAGCAATGACGTTGACAAAGTCGTTTTCTCCCAGCGTGTCCAGGATGGTGTTGATGGTGTGCTTGGCAATGGTCATCTTTAGCCCCTTCATGCTGCCGCTTATGTCCACCATGATGATGATGTCCTTTGGAGAAGTGGCTGCTTGGATGTACCTGCACAAAGGCAGTGAAAGAGTGAGCATCCACGTGAATACCGACAGTTGTACAGAGAAACAGAAACAACCCAGAAATGGCCGACTTGCATGGCAGCTTTTGGCAGGAGTTGGGATACCGGATGCTGTTCCCTATGCAAGCCTTGGATTTAACTGGGCTTGAGACGCCATGTCCTACTTGATTGTGCATTACAGGTAACTAAGGGTTCAATGTATTGCCCAAAGACACCTTAACATGTAGTTTGGGGTAAAACCAAACCAGTGACCCATTGATTGGCAGGCAGCAATTCTCAGCCCTTGAGCCAGAGCATCTGGTCTCCTCCGGTATCATTTTGAAACGCATAAGCGGTCGCATATGGGGCCATGTGGAAGCACTGACCCGGCTGAGGAACGGCTTATCGTCTTTAACGGGGGATCAGGACTCTGGCTGGCTGCTAATCAGCTGACACACAGACAGGTAGACCGGCCAAAGACTGACCACGACTCGGCTTTACTCGAGGATTTTCTCGCCTTTTGGAACGCACTAATTTATGTAAAGGAATCATAGATCGAGCGGGCAAGCTAACAGCAAGGTCTCGAAGCAAAGTGCTCAACCGTAAAAGAACGAGATGTTATTGGAATTCTGTTTCTCATATCATATTTTTTCAGTTTTAACTTGTCTAATTAGCAGAATTGGAGGCAGAGACTACAGGTATCAAACCCCTCTCTGTGGAACTAGTCTGGGTATCACGAAGAAAAACCCCCCTTCTGTGGAACCAGTCTGGGTTCAGGTAGCAGAACGTTATCCTTAGAATTGATCAGATTCCCCATGATATTTAAGTTAGGGTACTAATACTCATATAGAGATGAGATTAGCTCTGGTGCTATGTCCGTGTGAATGAAGTAGGTTCTATTGGATCATGGTTATAAGACACTGAATCAGATACTATTTTTATACTCATTTCAGAAGGCACAAATAAAATACCAACAAACTTTTTTTTTTTTTTTTTTGAGCGATGTGACGTTTGTGGGCCAGACTCACCAGTTTCTGTTCCTGCAGTCGAAGGCGGCCACACCATTTGAGTCTGGAGTCCATTTTATACCTTACAGATAACAGAAATTTCAGACAACAATTAATGAAAACATGGATCCATTTGAGGTTTGTCAATACATGTTTTCATGACATATGAACAGAACTTTTTCAAACTAAAGAACAACTGAGAGGATTGGAGTCCAGATGTAATGACACATGTTTTAAATAACTTATTAACCCTATAATGCCAAATGTATCATATTTGATTCATACGGTTTCTGAAATGTTTTGCGTCTGACACCTTTTGCTTAATTTAATGGTAAAAACTTAGTTCAAAATCCTATTGTACATAATCAGATACACCTGATAACAGGGGGCAGAAGACTACACAAAAAACAATCTTGATTTATCGCATAGGAATAGATTATTAATATTAAAAAAGTATTTCTGTTTTTTGTTTTTACATATTTTGTTAAAAGGACAAATAAGGAATTCAAACCAAGCAAAAGTAATTTTCTGTTTTGTTTTATTCTTGGATCAGGCTTTAATGTTTATGTTCATGCATTTGGCAGACTGGGTTCAAAGGGTTAATGTTTAGATAAGATTACGGTTTTACACTATTACAATGTCATAAACTGATCTATTCAGTTTCTTTGAACCAATTTACTCTGGTATGTTATTTGCTGTATCAAAACTGAGCAAAGGTAAACTGAAAAAGCTGCAAAGCTGTACCGTGATGGTGAAATAAACTTACCAGGGTACAGCCTGAAGAACCCAAAGGAGCTTCCAAAATACTGCCAGGTGAGGGTGGGATCCTTCTGGAAGTTACTGATGTAGACGTCGTTTAACGACTCGGAGTTGTAGATGGCGTTGAGGATGTTCGGATCTGAAAACGACCCGACTCAGATCTAGTTGGAGAACTAGAAAAATGGCAAACCCGCGTCGGGCTGAAGGCGCCTCTCACCTTTGTTGTAGACGTTGGTCGGAACCTGGATGTTGCTCAGCTGCATGTTCACCGGCATGTTGTTGAAATGTTCGTTCTCCTCCAGGAGAAACTCTCCACCCAGTTCCACGTAGTTCCCGTCTTCATCCACCGTGTTGATCATCATGGAGTTGTAGTAATCGAACTGACGGACAAAGCATGTGGAAATCAATGGATTGTAGACCTATATTCTATCATTTTATCTTAAAAGCACTTTCCAGCCCATGAGGAGGCAAAATGTTATTTTAAAAAAAAATTCTACATTAAAGTCCTGAAAGCACACAAAAAGAAAACCTATCTGAGTGTGTACTCTCCTGGTTGGCTTTGATTACATGTGTAACAGTGGAATTAACAAGTTTTTTTTAATTTTGAATGGCTGAAGTTTAGTAAAACATAGCCTTAGATCTGATCTTTGTAGGGATTTCCCAAGGAAATGTTGGTGAGCACTGTCTAAGAAGCTTTTTTTTATTAGATGACCATTAGATTACCTTTAACTTATTTCAACTTATTAGCCATTATTTTCTGAAGAAGTGATTTCTGACAAAAGCTTTTCAGATTTATTCAGCCCAACAGTTCTGTGTCTTATGAATGAATGAGTACGTCAACATTTTTTTATTTCACAGTACTTGCTAATTACAATTCAATGGCATATTTAAAAAAAAATATATATATATATATATATATAGACTGAACATAGACATACATATGACAAATAAAAAAGACCTCCATTTGAGATGTGAAGAATTCAGGATTGTGAATACTTGTGCCTAATACTTTTAATCGTGTATTCTTATCTTTAAGCTCCTTTTATCAGAATTTAACAGCTCATGCCAGAGAATTGTACTTTGTAAATCTTTGTTTGAGGTCTTTCTTTGGTGTTGACCGAGTTTCCCTCACAGGGTAAAGGAAGCCTGGTTTAATCTAATTTCAGGAGTCAGTTTAAGCTGTAAAGCCCCGACCTGTTACAGTGTCACCTGTAAACTAGCCGTCGTTAGCTGTGATTCCCACACAAGAGACATGCTAGTTTTCATCCACCGCACAGCCCAGAGTACAAAAGTACAACTCAGACCAACAAATAGTGTGTAAATGTCAAAATGACCACTGAATTAAAATAAGGCAGCCACTGACCTCTAGCGAAACGTTGTATTCATGGTACAGATCAGCGTCTTCGGCAGATTCTGCCAACCTCTGACGCAAGAAAAAAGAAACAAGAAAAACTGATTACTCAAACACTGGAAACACAGTTTGAGACAGATGATACACAAACTTTATAGACCGTGTGCAGAGTGATAAACAACAATCCCTTTCCGTTTGTGAGCGTTTGTCTAATTTCCATCTTCCATCCCAGTTAAAACTCAAGATGGCTACTGGTAGCTGATGCCACATGGTCTTGAATTTCCCCTTGGGGATCAATAAAGTATCTATCTATCTATCTATCTATCTATCTATCTATCTATCTATCTATCTATCTATCTATCTATCTATCTCCACAGGTGTGGTGTTTAGCTTCCTGGTTCAGATTCTGGCATTGGGCCCTTATTGTGTGGTGTAAGCATGTTTGGAGTGTATACAGGGGGTCCTATGGCCTCTTAACTCCTTATAAAACATCAATATTTCATGATTAATTTGAGACTGATTTGATTTTAGGAGTGAACATGGGTATTTGTGTCTGTGGTGGACCAGTCCAGGGTCTACCCTACCTCTCATCTAATGGTAAGCTGGTATAGGCTCCCACCACTATGCATTAAGTTAAATACTTTGTAGATTTATGATATAGAAAATGGATGGATGGATTTAACAGATGCTGGACCAACTGACCGACGCTTAACCGTCCATTTTTTAGGAACCAAGTTACTACCAAATTCAGATACTGAGAAAATCTCTCACATTTTAATAACCAACATAAACACATCACCATGTTATTCTGGGACAAACTTCCACTATTGAACCTTTCAAACTAAACCAACCAATGAATGAACGGATCGTTTTTTGGGCAGCGTTATCAAGAAGTGATGCAGATTTTCTGCCGTGTCATAAAATATCTACTTTTCCACAGCAGCCTGAAGGGATCTCCAATGAGATGTACCTCACTCTAAAGACTCGAAGGCACTATGCGGCTCCACACAGAAAAGGGCCCAGCAGGACCTGTGCATTATCACATAATCCCAGCCCGGAGCTGCCTCTTATCAGAGGATTAGTTTTTGTCAAGCTAGCTAAAGCAAAGAGCACCCGACTGTGTTGAACTTGCTTCTGCTTTAGGACCATCTTGGGGGGTCTGTATGCGAATGGTAAATTCAACAAGGGTGACTTTTGGTAAGCGTTTGTAATGAGAAAATCTTAAAATTGGGATTAAACACACTGGAAAATATCGATCCATGCTTGGTTTGGTTACTACCTTCCTGCCTCCATGTGGAATCTGGTTTTATTTTGCCTTTCACATCATCAATCTGGATGTTTTTCCCATATACTCTCATTATTATTATGGGTTTTGGTGTAAATATTCTTTCTTTTGGTGGATTACTACCACGTGATTTTCAAGATGTAAACAATAAATCTGACAGCGCTTCGAAATTTCTTCGAATTTAGTCGATGTCTCTGAAATTAGAAAGCCCATGTTTTTTATTTGAATAGGTCTGTAAATAAAGTGCATCTATTGGCATTTACCTTAACTCTATTCTGCCACTGATAACCTGAATTTACATTTACTGTATGTTCACGCATTTAGTAGACACTTATCCGGAGCAATTTACAATCAGACTTTTTAAAAAACAATTCACGATTAAATAATTTCCCTCCGGGATTATTTAAGTATTTCTGATAAACAGCTCCAGATGATGTTCCTTGAAGGAACGCACTGGGATTTTATGTAGGTGTTTTTATCTATTTATTGAGAAGTCTTCTTTAGTATGCATTTGTCTTTTTGGCGTAAATACATTGGTAAAAAATTAGCACACAGTATGGATTGCATACAAAAATACCTGAAATTGCTCATAAAAAAAGAAAAATTAGAATTATTTGAAAAACAAAGGACAAAAAACATGTCACTGGACATCATGTTTCTACTGGACAAAAATCAAATACGGTAATTACCAGTTTGTGCAATGTTTCCAAATAGAATACAAAACTATTCGTTTGTGAATGTTTTAGAATGACTTTTCCAGCGAGTACATTTTTGCTTAAAACTTCCCACATATTTCCATCTCCATCACTTTTGATGACCAACTTCACAGCAAAAAAAAAACAACTAAAAGGCAACCTCATTACCACATTAGCAGGTAGGTAACAGAGGACACAACTCAGTAAAGTTAGTTACTAGTTTGCCTATCGATTGATTGGGGGTTACATTTCTAATTCAGCCTGGTATTGATCAGAGCTCCCTTTGGCAAACCCTCAAAGTGAGTGTTAGGTAATGACTTATTTTCAGTTGTTACAGAGATTTTGGGCACTCCAGATGTGAGGTCTGCACCTCAGCGTGTTATTTGACATGGTCTTTCCGTTAAGATGCTTCAAGGGCCAGATCTATACGGTGTTTTTGGTTCTTACCTTCACAGATTTCATCTTGCTGCCCAACATTCGCTCAATTTCGTCGGAGTAGTCCTTCACCAAGTCCTCTCCGTTCAGCTCCACGATCCTAATGATGGACTCCACGTCCTTCAGTTTCTAACGGGGCAGAAAAATAAGTGTTATTATGTTAGCAAACCAGATCTGTATCCAAAGTGAGAACCGACCACAGACTGAAACACCAGTACTACACCAGTACTGGACAGCTGAGTAAAACAAATCTAAACTCAATCAGGAAGTGTGAATGGTCTAAACCTTCATCTAAACATTTAACTCATTGGCTGCCAAAGACGTCTATAGACGTCAATTCAAATACAACCGTTGACTGCCAAAGACGACTATAGACGTCTTCTATGTTTTTCAACGAGAGCCGCTGGGGGACGATCTGCTAAAGCTTGTCCGTAAATATCAGGCTTCTAGACAGAGTATGTAGTAACAAATTGACCCTCTAGGGGGCAGTGCCACTTTTGATGGGAGATGAGCATAGACTGTAGGCAAATAAGAAAAAGGTAACGGTTAGCTATGAGAGAACATGTCGCCGGTGAGACGAAAGTCCAGGAAGAACGGAATAAGGTAGAAACTATTTTTTTCCTGATGAAAGAAGAGAGTCTACTCTTTCTTTTGGTGTGTTCGGTGTTTACATAGTCATAGCACAAACTATTCTGTGGCTCTTGAAAAATCAGTCAAAATGCTCAAAAACCTCTGGCAGTATGGGACTCTCTGTTCTGAAAATGGCTGCCAGTCAATGAGTTAATAAGCGGGGGCCATTAAAATGTGACCTGTCTTTCTTCACCTGTAGTTTCCAGAGCACAACTGAAACAATGACAGTAATTGAATTATCTTACACAACTGTCGAGCTG